AAACAACCTGATATTTGTTTGCATCTTCTTCTGCATCCAGACCTCTGCAGGGATCCCTCGCCCACAGTTCTGTAGTTCCTCTTTTTACTGACTTACAGTAAGGCAAAGAAATATGTAGCTTTTGTTTTTCTACAGACATATAATGACCCACCACATCAGATCTCCAGTGCTTACTTTTTGTTTAAATTCTGCTGAGCTCAGAGGACTCCACCCCATCACCCCAACATGCTGGATTACCCAGATGCCTTTCCAGAGTTCAGTAACCTTACCATATAAGCTGTTTTCTCTAAAATCATCACTGTATTAACTTTTCCCATTTACTTAAATCATGTAACCTCCACTTTCCTTGAACCTGAGGATGTTTATACACAGTGAAATATTCAAACTCAGTATTCTGGATGTCTTGTGGGCAGTAAGTGGAAATGTAATGTAAATGTAAGATATAGTTCTGCAGGCTTGAAGGATGTCTGGATGAACAACACAGTCCTTGTTTGTAGCTCTCATGTATTGCCATTGACTAAAAAGAGTGACCTGCTTTTCAAAAAAAAAAAAAAAAAATCAATACACAGAAATCACATACTATTATTCTGAATTTGTCTCCAGAATCTTTTAATCTTTCCATCTGGTTGGAAAAATATTTTGTTTCTTGCATGTGACTTTATTTCCTGTATGTTCCTATTCTTTCTGCAAATCACAAGCAAACTATTTTCTAATGATTTTGTATGAAAATAATAATATATAGGAGGAAAATGAATGTATAAGTGATACACTTATTTTATTCCCTTTATAGAAACTTCATCATCTTGTGAAGCAGACACAACATATAATATCCACATGGTTAGAAGAAACTTTTAATTTTACTAAAATTATTCAAAATAAATGTGGAAATAATAATTTGCCCAATTGAATTATGCTTTTCGTCATTTAGCTCCTAAACTGTTCTTTTGTATTCATGTCCTGTTCATTTTTATTATTTTTAGTCTAGTTATTTTTCTTTTTTGCATTGTTATTTTGTCTTTTTGCATTTCTGGCTTTCATTCTCTCCTGAGATGTGGAAATACATGAACGATAATTATGGTTCTCATGTCATATTTGTTCACCACACTGCTGTGTTGGGGTTTTCCACGATGCCTTTAGGAAATTGCTTCATAAGCCGCACATGTAAAACAAATATAAACTACTTTCATTCCATAATTCCTGACAGTGAGAGCGAATTCCTGACAGGGGAGAGTTGGTTTAGACTGTTTAGTGCTTGTACTCATGTTTGTGAGTGATACTGTGATCTATTATACACATTTTCAATTTGAACAGGTCGACGTGTATCACATTAGGAGTCTGAACATAAAGCTGATTGTGATTCTGATTCTGAATTAGAAGCTCGTTTAAAATGACTGCAGTCTACAGTCTTACCATTTTATCCTGTAGTTTCTGGTTTTATTGCTGCTTCAGCAGTACACAGTACTGTACCTGGATGATTACGACTACCTGTGCTTGCTGTTACTACACGTCAGTCAGTCAAAGTTATTCATGAGAAGAAAAGACAATAAGTGAAATTTCTTGTTGGAATACAAACATAATGTACTCTAAATGAAGACAAATTGTGTTTTCCTGTGTTTAGTTTGTTTGGTTTCATTTCTAGCATGCGGCAGGAGGTTTCAGAGCCAGAGTTCATCTTCATTCCCTCAAGACCCAATGTCTGTAAGGCTGGAAACTAGACTTGTGTGTGGTTTGTGAAGACGTTTCAGCTCTCATTGAGAAGCCTCTTCAGGCCTGACTGACAGGTGTGGAGACTACTGCTTCTTGGACTAGAGGTGAAACATCTCAAGCAAATCCAGCTGCCAACTTCAGCACCTAAACACTCAGGGCCCAGTGTTTGTTTACAGTGGTCTGTTTGGTCTAGATAAACTGTGACAACCTTCCCAAACACTGTGCATATGTACAGCTGCTAACCAAAAGGAGGGGAGACAGAACATCTTGGCCTTCATAAAGGCCAGTATTTTTCACTGTGGGCAGTGAGGAATGTGTAAAAGATGGTAAAATGATCCTGTTTCGCCTCATGTGATCAGACACATAACAGAGTGTTGGTGAATGTTGTATCACTGCTTCATGCTCACTGCTTCAGTAAACCTCTAAGTCATTCACAGACTGTGGACATTCACAAAAAAGTTTTCTGCCTTTTTAGTCAGAGAAAGACTCAAACCAAAAGCCGCAATGCAACCCCGAACAAAAAAGCTTTCTGTTTGAATGGCTATTTCCAAATTCAGTGCTATAAAATTACACATTTCTGTTACATTTACAGTATATTAAACTTTCCAGAGGAGTCTTGTTCATTTTTTAATTGAAGAAGAAAAGCTTTGTGCTTCTGGCAAGATGTTCAAAGACAGGAGTGGCACCACTGTGGCTGCTGTTAAAACTGTTATGAACAGTTGCATTGTAACCACAGGATACAGCGTAATAACAGCTTATTTAATATGAAACATCAAGTTATGAAAACGTAAGTGAGTATGCAGCCAAGGATGAATATTAGCAGGTCAGGGACTAATAAAAGATGTATTTATTTAATTATTTAGTTACTCCGCTGAGTTGTGTTGGGTTTATTATTGCCTTCCAGATGAATTTCTATAAAAAAATTACTCATTTTAAACTACAGTTAATATTTACATTGCATGTGGCTTTTTGTAAACAAATTTAACACTATACATGTGTAGCTCACTCTTTGTCCTCAGGTTTGTGCTATCTTAACATTTAGAATCATAATATTTACTGATAAATAGTACCGGATTAGATAGATGCATCCAGAAATAAACAGAAAATTTACAGACTTGTAAAATAAAATGCTACAAAATGATCTGTTATACACTATATTATTTACATACATCTTGAATGGACTGTGAAGTTTTCTAAGTTACACGCAAAATTGTGATGCTTTTGTATTTATAGCATGAAACAGATGTAGATAAATCCACATATAAAACTTGCAGAGGTTGTTGTATGTAAAAAAAAAGGGGAAACCAAGATCCTGTTTGAAAATCGTAAATAATTCTGAATCCATTTAAATGGTCTTATACTTGTATAATGCTTTTCTATGTGTTGCAGCACACTCATAGCTCTTTCACACTATTTGGCCATTCATCCGTTTACACTGCCAAGCACTTACACACCAGTGACATCACTGGATTTAAAACACACACACATTTATTTGTCTCTCAAAAAACAGCAGTTTTTACAAATGCCAGATGTCTTTGTATAATTTAGAGAAATGATGGAGTGATAACATTTAGAGTAAAGCAAACTAAGGAGGGTTTTGCTCTGCGTGCGTCACAGCACACGCATAAATACATTGTGGCCCCAAAATACTTTCAAGTAGGATAAACAGTCTCTGTGGTGGGCACTGTTGTACTGTTCACAAGCTTCCTGTTAGGGTAACAACAAGCTCTATACATGAGTGGAGGCAGGGTGAGTAAGTTCAGGATAAAGCAACAGGGAGCTGGTGAGTCTGGTAGTCCATAAAGTGATAGAGTTATCAATTTAGACTGTGGGCCCTCTGAGAGGTATTACACTCTGTTTTCATTGACTGAGGGATGGATTGACTGATAGATGCCTCATTAATAGCCTGACATAGCTTGACACCAGTGGTTCTTGAGGCTCCAGAGTCTTATGAGCCTGTCTATGCAATGTTTATCTGCCTCACTCTCCAACCTGAACCCAACCGCAAGCAAACCCTTCAGCCTGACCTTGAACCATGCACTTTGGAAGTAAAGACAATGCATTCTGCATGTGGCCTTTGATGTGGGTTAAGTGGCCATATTCACAGTATCACATGTACACACGCCTGCTACAAATCAAGTTAGGCTGTGCCAAACATCAAGTATGTAGCAGATCTTAACTGTACACCAGCCATGAACTGTGGCAAGCATGAAGAAATGAGCAATTTTCTGCAACTTCTTTGCCCTTGTTTCCAATTGGGATAGAATGGTTTCTGTGTGTAAATATCAGCTGAAGTATAAGGTCAGGGAAATAACTGGAGACTATTGTGTCACGTTTGGACCGTCGCTTCCTGCTTTTCTGTTGTTTTTCCCCCTGCCTCTTCTGTCACATTCTCAGCCAGCATAATCAGCCATCATTTCATCCACCTGCAGCTCATTATCTCCCTGTTCAGTCTCCCTAAATATACACCCCTTTTCCATTTGTTCCCTACTGGTTCATTGTTTGATTTCCGTCACATGCCTTGTTTTGTTTCCAACATTTTCTTGATTGAGTACGGCCAGTTTGTTCAGTCAGCTACCTGACATTATTCTGGCTCTTCCGTTTCCTGATTGCCTGTCCAGCTTGTCCTGCATTTACCTGCTCCTCTGACTCTCTGTGTGGATGTCATCACCACTTCAGCTTGCCCCCTTAGTAAGCTACTCACTTGTTACTTGACCACTTCAGCTTGCCCCCTTAGTAAGCCACTCACCTGTTACTTGCCTGCTCCTCTGGATCTTCGTGTGTGTGGAAGACAGAACCATCACACTGTCCCTCTGAGTAAGCTACTCTCATGCTACTTACCTGCACCTCCTGCTCTCCTGTGTCAGCTTATCTTCCTCTCCAGGTCCCCGTTGCCCGCCTGCTGTCTGCCAGTCACATGAACCAGTTTTGTCTCAGTCCCATCCAGTTCCAGTCCTGCCTCTGTTCCCCTCTCTCCATCATTCGGTAACCCTGTGTTTACTGAATGAACTCTCCTTTGTTCCACTCCTGGGTCTTGGGGTCCCCTGTACCTGCTCAGACTGTAACGTATTGTATTCCTGTGTGACACTGCTTTATTTGTTTTATGATTGTGAACATGTTTGATTTTCTCAAGATGCTTGTTACTATAACGGCCAATTAAAATGAAGTGCTACTTTCAGACCTGCTGGGTGACGATAAATATCATGGTCATCAATAAGGATTAGGATAATCACCTTTATTTGGCCAAGTATGTTACACACAAGGAATTTGTTTCTGTTACAGAACCGACCGATGCAGCCATCTGCGGCTCCAACTCGTACCAATGGCTCTGACCATTGGGGGCAACTTGGGGGTTCAGTGTCTTGTACAGGGACACTTCAACACGTGGACTGCAGGCACTGTGATTCGAAACTGCAACCCTCCAATTGGGAGATGACTGTTCTACCCACTGAACCACAGAGCCACTGAAGGTGCACTATGTCATACTGAAACTAATTTGTTTGCACACATTGCAGAGTTTTCAGTTAGTGGTTAAAATCATTTTCTGCTTGTATGAGGATGAGACTGTTAGCTGAGTGACGGTATGGGTTTTATTTTTAGTTTAAGTTTGGTTTGGTTTGTTTCCCTTGGCTCTTAATAGATCTGTACATCTCAACTGTCGGTTTTTACACTGAGGGTTTATCTCAAATATGCCTGCCAAGTGTTTATAGTGCATATTGTCAAGCCTGTTATGGCATTGTAGTACTATTGATTAAAAAAAAATCCTTTTAGTTTCTTTTATCTTTATCCTCTTAATAGATTTGGGATAAGGGAATGATCATCAAATAGTTAAACAGAACAAAATACTTAAAGCTGTTTTAACAGGCCCAAACTCCACTGCCTGTTACATGACTTCAGATGAATGTGATTAATGTCTACAAGATGTGTGTGTGTGTGTGTGTATAAACAGTTTGCTAACATTTCTATTATATCAACATAAGTATATGATAAAATGTCAGTTTGTTATGCCACTGCCAAATGGCAAATGGTGGGCATTAACACATGTTGCGTAGCTCTTCCCCCTGAAGGTAAACAAGGCTTATTAACTTGATTAGTGCTTGATTAAGGCTAAATCAATTGATGGGCAATCAGCTGGCAGCACAGATGAAAACAATATGCTTTCCAGCAGTGCACTGGGGTACGCTGCTTTCTATGACCTCATCAGAAACAAATGAGTAGGGCCACAACAGGGACTTTCCTTACATCCTCTGGCAAGTGTCCCCACTGTGAGGTACTGTATACTAACATGACAACCACAGAGCCCCATCTCTAATAGCCCTGCTGTGCAGACTGAAACAAACAGCTTTCTGTGCAAATGGAGGAGGGAGTTGATCATGTGCTTGATATAATCTGTTTGTGAAGTGGTAAAACAGTGGCCTTCTATGTTCTAATCAGCAGGAGCTGCCCCAGCTGTCTGCTCTGGCAACGTTGCTTTGTGCCTCTAATTTACCTGGAAGGCAAACTTAAGCCTGAATGGTGTGACCTTAACGCAGGGTGGGGATGTGCTCTTCTCCTCAGATGCAACAAGTTTAAAAGCTTCACATAATTAGTTACTATGAGACAAACATTTAGCACAATTAGTAAAATTCTCCAAGAAATGAAAACAGAAATTTGCTCTTTTGAGTCTTGGAGAAATCAGTTTGACTAATAGTGTAGCAAAAGAGAATATTCAGTCACTGAGGATGAACAATATCTGTGCTGCTGCGACACCCAGTGGACAAAGTGTGTAACTCTTCATGCAGTCAGAGGGAAGTGTCATAGATTTCCATGCCAGTGACACATATTTGATTTATTAATGAAGTTATCATACATAACATGAAATATAGTTTGCATACATTAGGAATGCAACAGAAGCATTTTCAGGTGTTTAAAGTGATAGGTGGGTTTTAGGAGGTTATTTGTTTTTCTGCTGAGCGTTATGAGGAAAAGTTTGACTACAGAAGGCAAATTGAGGCAGAGTTATTTCTCCTCAGTAAGCATTCACAACACTCAAGCTTCTTGAAGACAATCCACATAAAAAGACATTTAGATTCATACACTGATATACTGTATACTTGTATTTTTGATTCCACAATTTGAGTAACATGCTACTGGTTACTGTCCTAATAATAATGGAGAACAGCATCACATAAACACTGAACAGTGTGAACAATAAATATCCCATTTACTTGAGAACATCTTCCTGAGGGTTGTGACTGAAATATTTGAATACTCTGTTAATGAGTAAACTGGCCCTTGTTTGTTTGTTTTGACTTTAATCTTCTTTTTCCTTCCCTGAGTCCAAATGAGGGCAGAGGTCATCCTGCAGTTCTGTGTGAATTAACTGGCCTTCATCTGGTGGTTCTCCCCAGGCTCTGTGCCCATGGCACGTTTCAGCCTGGCTGAATGGTGCATGGCACTGCCCTTCATTGACCGGCGCAGGGAAGACAAGCGGTTGCGGAAAGCCTCTCCAGAGAAAAAATAAAGCAGTGGGTCAAAGCATGAATTGGCAGCAGCGAGGCACAGTGTCACCACCACAGACTTCTGCATGGCGATCGTCTCTGCGCAGTTAGTGCCCTCCCGAGACAGGAAGCTCAGGTGGATAGTACGCTGCACATGGTAAGGCAAGAAGCTGATGAGGAAGGTCAGGAGGACAATGACAATCATGCGGATGGCTCTGCTGCCCATGCCCTGCTGGCGTCTGGCCACGTGGGAACGAGTCAGCAGGGTGTGGACGATGCCAGCATAGCAGAGCAGGATTATCAGGAAGGGCAGAACAAAGAATATTGTTAGAGACACATAGTTCAGAATGATTAACCTGTCCAAACCGTCAGGTGGTGGAGGTTCAAAGCACTTCGTTTTATTTGTAAGGGGGTCAAAATCCTGGCCAGACATCAAGAAAGGAGAGGATGAAACACAAATAAACAGCCAGATGCCCCCACACACCAGGCGTGCACGGTTCTCGGTCACCAGCCGCAGGTTCTGCACAGGGTACACAATGGCCAAGAAACGTGTGACAGACATAGCAGCCATGAAATAAATGCTGCAGTAGAGGTTTACATAGAGGGTGTAGGAGCTGATGCGGCAAAGGAAGTCTCCATAGTTCCACTGGCCCTTGTTGACATAGTAGAGAACTCGCAGTGGCAGTGTCATAACACACAACAAATCAGACACAGCCAGGTTCAGCATGTAGACGTGAAAGGGCATGCTGCTCTGGTATGTTCGGATCAGCACCGCCAGCGCCAGGCCATTCCCAACCAGGCCTAGCACAGTGATGAGGGAGTAGGCTGTGGAGTAGACCTGGTTACGGAAGTCATCGATGGATGAACAGTTATCAAAGTTGCTCTGTGTGCTGTTTGTCAGGTTCATTTCCTCCGTTTGTGGTTACACCTGCAGCTGCTGAGACAGAGAAACTACATGATGATGCTCACAAAACAGAGAGTGTTCTGCTTGGAAGTCCACCTCAAAAAACACACATGCATGAGAAGACAGAGCCCTGCAGAGTGTGATAACTGTGATGTGGCAGATATGGTCAGAGATAGGCTCTATTTTCTGCTGCTCTGCATACTCTAGGGGAAACTCCGTTAGAAGATAAGCATTTCATATCCTGTCACACAGAGTGTGTTCTGTTGTTCTTGCACGGATAAAAAAAAAAAAGATGTTTATAAAACATATTGTTCACACTAAAGACACCGCAGTGCAGATACCCTAAGATGATCCTGGAGTTACAACAGATTTGTATGAATTCCCTGAAACAGGATAAAGCATATTGATTCAATATCATTTATTCCATCCTTAAATCTGTTTACCAGGTGATAAACCACTCAGCATCCCAGTTGAAAATACAAAGGCAGTTTATGGAAGCCTTTTTCTTGCTGCTGTGCCTTCAGTAATTTTGCATACTTCCTGTGAATCAGCATCTGTCCTTTAAACTTGTTTATCTGTGTGGCTCTAATTCACTTTACACTGAATCGCTTCTGTACTGAGTTACACAAGTGAGCGTTATCCAATAACATTCATTCATTATGACTATTTGCGTTGCCAGTCTTGCTTGTTTTATGATTGAGAGATCTGTGCAGTGTGCTTCAAAAAGACAATACCTACATTGCTCATACACAGTATGTCATTATATTTACATGCTGTTAATTCAATTCTGTCACTTCCCTTTAACAAAAGTAAACATGTCTCCCTTGGCAAAAGTAAATCTTGCACTATGATAAAATCTGGATCCAGCAAGTTTTCCTTACCGTTTAATGTGCGTCTGCTGTCTATATGGCACAGTGTGTGGTCATCTCTTGTTGAGCAGGTCGTCTCAGTGTGTCTCTCCTCTGCCTTCTTACCTCGTCTGCCAGCTGTTACAGCAGTAGTGGGAGGGCGCTGCAGAAGGTGGCTGCTTCTTCAGAATCTCAAGTTCCTCGGAAGCCTGTCAAAGTAAGAATGGTGTTCCTCTTTTACCATGTAGCCCAACACCAGTGACATTATCGGCTGTGCAGCCATGCATTTATGTTAAATGAAAGAAAGGATCAAATGAGTTGTCACACATTCTTCTCATATTTCTTTCTCACTTGCTTTATTTGTTTATCTAGCCTGTTTTACTGTACAAGTATGTGCTTATTGGAATCTAAGTAGTACCTGTATCAATGATTTTGTAATTTTTAAATTGTGTTTACAGAGAGTTTAGAAGATCTACAGGACTGCATTGTTGGTGTAGTTTATCGAATACGTAACTTAAGACACAGCCTTGTTAAGCAATCTTAGAATCTGTTGCTTCACAGCAAGAATGTCTCAGGTTCAATCCGCTCCTGACCCACTGCAGAATCTGCACTCTGTTTACCACCTGCAAACCACATTCATTAGCAATGTAGGAAATACCATGGAATAGACAAACAGAGCAGCAGTTATAAATATTTGTATACTTAAATATACAAATGATTCAATAAAGTAAAAAATATTTTTTAAAATCTGAAAGCAGATTAGTGTGCAAGGGCCGTCCTGCAGTGCTGAGTCTGCATGTTCTCCCTGTGCCTGCATGGGTTCTCTCTGGGTACATGCAGTTTATTTTGACTGGTGACTCTAAATTGCCTGCAGGCACACGTATGGGTGTGTGTGGTTGTTTGTCTCCATGTCAGCTCTGTAATAGACTCGCAACCTGTCCAGGGTGTACCCCGCCTCTGGCCCAGCTGGGAAAGGCTCCAGCCCCCTGGGGCCCTATTCAGGAATAAGCAGTATAGATAATGGATGGATGGATGGATGGATACCGCAGTGGAAATGGGTAACCTCATCCTGTCACTTGAAAGGCCTGCATGGCAGAAGTTCAGGGAAGTGAATCTGTAAATGAACATGATCACAAAGTTATTACTCTATGCTCTTGATAATACATTAATGGCACCATAAAGAACAACTGCCGGGGCAGCCAGCTGCTGTAAGTGGTTTGATCCTTTTGAGATTAATACATTTGTAGTTTCAAGTAGCCCTGGGTTTCCTGACGTAGTGTGTTAAACACTGTTTTTGGTTCTCTACACACGTACTGTAGTATAACTATATAATTTTATTGAGTCTTGATAGTTTTTTGATTACATAGTGATTTAGTACATCAAACATACCGAGGAAACTGCATTTGCCATCAGTTTAATCAATACGTCAAACTTAACACACATAAGCATCAATGAATTTAAAAACAGGCGCACCTCACTGCTATAAACACAGTCTGTCTGCATCTATAAATGAGAGATGTCACGTTGTGTTTGAGTGCAGCTTCACAAGCTAATGTGGTTGTTTTGTTCATCATACTGTAATTGCAGATCTGCAAAATCCAATAATGTGGGTGGGAAGTCAAGATGCTTAATACAATAAATGCATCATCTCGGCCTGTTTTAATGCATAACTGGCATTATTCCATTCGCCCTGGGCTTAACTGTAACTGACTACTTTGTTGGCTCACCTCAGCATTTCAACTCTGATGAGTCACTCTAAAATCAGCCAAGTTGTTTAACTGCTTCAGGTTAACTGGATTTCTCTGATATCCAGTTCTTTTAGTTCTGTTAGCTGCTAAATGCTAGCTAGCTAGTCACTAACTGTGCCTGTCTGTTTGGCGCTGGGCAGGAGAATTGTTAGGCGGAGGCTGTTTTTCATTGAAAACAGCTTTTTAATGAAGGAAATGACGCTGATGAGAGCAGAGAGAGTGAGAACCAATACATTAAAGTCACAGGTTTTAAGAAAGTGGGAAAACTACAACACTGTAGAGCTGAGGGCAACTGGAGGTGAGTCAGGTGATAAATCTGTGTGTTTTAGTGACATTTTTCACATTACTACAGTCATATGAGCTGCTGTTAGTGTAAACAATTTATCAAAGCAGCTTTAACTGCCAAATGCTTGAAATCTGAAACTGTTTTCTGGCTCTGGAAATACTGTAGATGGTGCAGATCGGGAAGCATTCACATGAATAATTTTTGAAAGCACTGATAAACCACTTATGTTATTGTTTAGGCATGTGCTCTCCTGCCTTTGCGGCAGCTCCAGCCCTTCCATGGAAATGGGAAAGGAAAGGGCTCATCAAGAACTCATCTCCCAGGGAAATGTTTCCCTTTATCCTGAGCCAACATTAAATATCACCATGTGATTGATATTATAAATCATATGTTTTTACACTGTTTGGAAGTATTGCTTCAAGTCATTTTATTTAAAAATATAATTTAGCTTAGTAAATTTATTTGACAATTAAAAGGATTTGTGGAAATTAAAAAGAAGGCTTATAAAAACAGCATTATCACTGGGGTCTGTTGTTTTTCAGAAGGTGTTTGTTGCACTGACAGAACTGACAATACCCTGCAGACTAGGATGTTTATGTAGGTCACTATCTCTGAAATATACTGTTCATCTCAGCAGTCTGGTGTTTCAGAAGTAGAGCTCAAAGATGGGTCCAAGGAGAAACATAGCTTAAATATAACTTATAAAACATTTGTGGTTTCCTAGCTGCTGACACTGTGCATGCATGAGAACATAATAGATGTACAGATATCGTTTTATAAATCCTGGGTATCGCAGTTTATTTGACTGCTACTGTACTTTATATGCATAAAGGTAATATTCTATAGAAAATAGCACCTTATCGGTGGATTTTACAAAGCATAATAAATGAGTGAAGCCACAATTCAGTCATAGCAGTGTCTTTGTATGCGGAATATACAATATATTCCAATAATCCTTTATGGCTACAGGTGGATGTATGAAGCCCAGGTTTGCTGTTTTGTTTCATATATCCACTCACCCATTAAATTACTTCAGGTCTTGTTTGGTTGACCTCCTATGCCACTGTAACATGGATGAAAAGAAAAGTGGACGCATGAATGTTTATCTGATGATGTGCACTCTGTGTAGGGCATGGCAATTCATCAGGGTTCATAAGTTACAAAAGCAAGATTAATGCAAGGTATTATTAGTGGATGTTTGTTATCAGCACTGATCGTGGTCAAGTTTGTGGGGGCAGATCTGTGGATGCGATGGCCAGGCAGGGGCACAGACTCAAAGTGGGATGACACATTTGACATACGTGTAGAAAATGAACTACAGGAGTGAGGTGTGCCAACTGGTGTAAGAACAACAACCTCTCCCTCAATGTGGGGAAGACTACAGAGATTGTTGTCGACTTCAGGAGGAAACCTCTAAAGCATCCCCCACTGACCATTGATGGTGCTGTAGTGGAGAGAGTGAGTAGTACCAAGTTCCTGGGGGTGCACATCTCTGGTAGGTAGGTAGGTACTTTATTGATCCCACAGTGGGGAAATTTCTGTGTTATAGCAGCAATAGAGAACAACCAACATAACACCATAAGAACAGACACATAAGAACATGACTTCATAAAAACATGGAAAAGAACACAAAGAGGACACAGCTGCTGTAACTCGCTGCACAACAAAGAACACTTAGTCTTAAAATAAAGAGTTACATAAGACCTTTCCTGGACCAACAAGACCACATCACTGACCAAGAAAGCTCAAACACGCCTCTACTTCCTCCGCAAACTGAGGAGAGCCAGTGCCCCACCCCTGCAATGCATAGTGAAAACAGCCAGCAAGATCATCGGCGCCCCTCTGCCTTCCCTTATGGACATCTTCAACACCCACAGAGCCATCAGCACTGCTGATGATCCACATCAACACATTCAGAGAAATGAGTATCATACTGCATGCATGATCAAAAATAAAACTAATTTGACCAATATAAATTATATGGCACCAGAAAAATGTTAGTTGTATTTAAGGCAACAAATTGTCATTTGTTAATACTGACAAGAATCATTTTTTAACTCTGGCAATGGTGGCACCAGGAGGTGGCCAATCAGATCCTGGCCACCCTCTGGATCCGCCCATGCAGTCTTTAAGCCATAAAGTGATCATTTAACTGTTGTATGAAGTCGGCTGTGTTGGCTGTAAGTCTATGCAGTAGCAATTTGCAGCATCATGGGAGTATTTCATGAAATAGATTATAAAGGTAATTGTATCTCATCATATTTGCTTTTGTAAAGATTAAAACAAGTTGAAGACGGTGTAGCATTCGCTTGCTGAAGGTGATTCGAACCTAATTTGTGATTAAGTCGAACTGAAAATCACACAGAGTCATCCTTTTTGTATTCTAAAATAATACCTGTGTGTTTGGTAACGTAGCCTATTGATGATAACCTTGTATTATTAAAAGGAAGAAAAAGACCTCTTTAGTACTTTTATAACATTAGAAATATTCCTTTGTTTGTCTGTGTTTGATTAAGAGCAGCAGGCAAACATTACACCACCGGCAACAAGGCACAAAGCAAACAAGCCGACACTGTAGGTGTGTGTCCAGGGCTGACAGTGTTTTGTTAGCAGCAGTACTGAAGCTTAATGGCCATAGCAACATCTAACTGAACACAGGTGACATGTGTGGATAGGTTTACAAGCCAGACAGTGGGGCTTTAGATACAGTTTATAATGCTGTTACTGAGTATAGCTTGATACAAATGGAATATTTGACCATATATTATGATAGTACACAATCTGGTTTTTTGAATGAATCACTGCCATGTAGCCCTCTCGTGCCCAAGTCCATGTCATGAACACAGAAAAGTGTAGTTTCCACTCTGGACAGTGTCAGAGCATGGAGGGCAGGTGTTAGCTGATCTGTGTCCATGTGGACCGTGTGTGCTCATAGGTGACAGTGTGGAGGCTGCTTCACCGTAGTGTTGGCCAACAAGTCCAGGAAGCAACACTTTGATAAGAAACTGCTGTTTCCTCTCCAGGTGTTCTTCCTCTTTGTACATGGCTCCAGGATGTAGCTCTATTTGAATTATCAAGGACACATCCTGTTTTAAATAATGAAAATAAAACAACAAAGAGGTTTTAGATATACACAAGCTTGTTTGTTATCTTGACTGTTCCACATTCAGACTGGGGTAACTTGCTCCTGTGAGCAGTTAAAGCCATGTACTGAGAAGGTAGCAGAGGTCTCCAGGGTTAAATCCCAATTCCCTTTTTTTGATCATTCCTTGCTCCTTGATCTTCAATCCCAATCCACCATCTTGAAGGACATCTCAAAGCTTTTATATCTGAGCAAGAATTGAGGAGGCTGCTGGAAGAGACATGAGTAGGGATATATGATAGCATCCTACGCAGAAGTCTTTTGGACTGATAAGCCACTCTATCATTCACCAATTGGTGACTGGATGCTTCAGATGAAGGGTCGGAGGAAAGGACGTTTCATGTCTACATAAACTTTGTTTCCTCTTTCCTTGTGTCTTTTCCTTGCAAGACACAAGTGGGGGAAACGTGGATGCAATTAAAGAAATTTGGATTGATCCTATGCTTAATACCTTATAGCTCCTGCCCTTCCCTAACTCTGCCTTCATTCTGAGTCTAAACATATTCTAAGATTTTCCCTGTTAGATTTGACAAAGAAGTTCATATCAGGACTTGCACACAAATAGCTACACATACATGGCCCATTACACTGCATCAAGTGTGTACAGTATGTGTGCACCATATTGTGAAGACCGCTAGCTCAGTTGAGAGGAGCTGGCCCGACCCTGTCCTATACTGGGACAACTAACTATCCAGCTATGCGCTAGCACCTGTGCTGACAGTGAGGAGAACACCTTCTTTGTCTTTTTGGATTTTATTAGACAGAACAGAGAATGCAACAACAGAACTGTGGTTTACCTGGCACCGTGTGCTCATCAGGAAAACAATGAAAAAAAAGTAAAGCAGGACAAACAGTAACGACACTCTCTCAGGGCAACCCGAGTTCCGCGCCAACAGAATCTAAACAACACGCCCACCTGTCATCCCTCTTATCTCCTCCCGCACCTGTTCCTCCCCCCCATCCCACATTGGCCAGAACAGCGCGGCATTTTGTAGAAAACAGCGGTAACCAATACATGAACAGCCTTCAATAACATTGTCAAACCCATTCGCACACAACAGAACACATGAACATCAGCGGCCGGTCAGGGTCGCCACAATATGGAGATAAAATACTATCAAAAATGTTACAAATGCGTGTTTAACGTTTTGTCTGTAACAAGCGATTTGTGTGTGTGTGTCATGAAGATCACAAATGCGTGCTGCGCAATCTGCACGTATAAAGGCATTTGTGTGTGTGTCATGCTGTACAAACTGTTTGGGAAACGGGTTTGGAATTTTCCACGTGTCCTTAAACGCACCGTACATTCGTGAATCGTGGACTTTTGAGAGTGCGGAAAAACTCTCAAAAATCTGTGTGTGCGCGGAAGGTGATTCGTGTGTGTTAGACGATCCACGCATGCGTAGGTAACAATGTGTACGTACTTTCTAAAGAACTGCACACAACAACTCGATTTTAAGCATTTGTAAAATGTGTTTTATGTGCAGTTTGTACAGCATGCATTTGCGAACAGCATGACACACACACACAAATGGCTTTATACGTGCAGATTGCGCAGCACGCATTTGTGCCACACATTGTGACACACACACACACAAATCGCTTGTTACAGACAAAACGTTAAACACGCATTTGTAACATTTTTGATAGTATTTTATCTCCATAGCACCAAACTAAAAGTAAAACCACCCTTTCCCAGTCAACCATCAGAAAAGTGGGTAACACACAACACTGTACAGACCCTGATTCACAGTGTAATTTCTGTGTTTTTGGTTCCTGTGTCGTTCACACTATAAATTGCAGGCTGTATTAAGTGTTACAAAGAAGTGGAGCAACTAATGAATGAATGAATGAATGAATGAATGAATGTAATGCCAGAATGAGTCAAGCAATTAGTCACTAAAGACAGTGATGACAAAGGCCAGTTTACCGTAACGATCACATCCTAGTTGTTAAGAATTCTGTGTACGTGCCCGAAAACAGCACCCAACATTCTGACAGCATGTGTGGATTTTAACATCTTGGCTGAGTCAGGAATGCAAAATCACTAAGCAACAACAAGCTGTGACAATGTTTCCTACCATCTTTCTGGGTTTATATGCAACTATACAGTTAATGGAATCAGCAGAGATTTGAAAGAGAGGTTCCTTCATCCTTGTGGCAGTTTTCTCCTTGGCTCAGCTCAAGACAAGGCATGATGACATTTTTGTAGACTGAGCCGCTTGAGTTGAAGCAACTAGTCTTGAT